GGGGATTTTCTTTTTGTCCACAGCTCGGTGATCAGAATATTAGTGTTATTTCAGTTCCATTGAAAGTATTGACACTTGCTCACTTGAGTCAATTTTAGTTTTATGTTTTGTGTGAGCTTGAAAAGAATGTGAATTCTCTTGAGTAGATGCAATGTATATCAGTATGTCAATCAGATCTATTTTGTCACTTATGTGTAAATCTTCTCCACCCCTACTGACTTTCTCTCTTCTGCTAGTGATATATGTGTTAGTCTCATATACCCATACACATTAGTTCTACATGCTTTTGTTTTATGTATCTTGAGACAATGTTAGCAGGTTTATAAAAGTCTAGAATTGCTGTCTCATCCTCATGATTTGACGAAGGAGTAGTCAATTGTCACTCCTGATTGGCGGGCATGATTTTCTCTGTATATGTAGTAATGCAGCCATGTTGCTATTAGATTTTTTGGTTGTTACTTGCATAGATATTTTTCTCTTTCTAATTCCAGTCCCATGTTTACTTGTAGTTCTGAGACCAAGGCCTTGACCATGATAGAAAAGTCATCCAAACACACAAACATGCAGGTCCTCTTCTACATGTCGTCTAAGTTAGACATCGTAGTGAAGCTTAATCTTGAGCCTCTCAATCCTTAACTGCTATCTGATTCTAATTAGAAATATTATGCAATTTACAATCACCAGCATTTTTATTTTAAGTTACAAATAAGGAACTATATCTACTTCCACTTTTGTTGCTGTGCTTATATGCCAAATATTTCTCCTAATATAAATCTTAAGGGGTAGATGTTAAAGAAATTTTAAAGCAAATTTAGAAAAAGGTTAAGATTCCAGTTTTGTGTTAGAAAGGGGTCATACACTTTTACTCAGTCCAAGCAAAGGTGTCCTGATTTCTTCCTGCTCTTTAAGCCAATTGATTACCGTGTTTGGAGACTTTCGAAATGTCATATGGCTTTAATTTGGTATTTGTTTGTATATATTTTGGGAAAGGTGTGCTCGCTAATAAATTTAAGACAGCATGGCAGCATTCTGTGTGTCACATAACCTTAGTGCTGTGAGATATTGTCATGGTTACCTGCAAAGCAGCAGGATGTATGTGGGTGAAAGACGAGGCTCAAGCAGCAAAGAATAAGCTCCAAACAGAAAGCAAACACTATGGACTAAGAGAGGAAGGCAACGACAGGTGGGAAAAGCATGAACAGGCCACTGTTCAACTGCTGGTGGGAGAAAATAGCTCTGTTGTTTTGGTCATGATCTGATACCATTGGTTTCAAATGGCTGTTTCTCTGTATAGAAGTTTGCCCCAAACAAATCTTAAGAAAGTTAGAGTAAATTTGTGTTATGAAAGTAATCAAATTTAGGAGGTTTCCAGAGAACATGATGTCATCCTCTGACTTCAGGCAGAGATTATTGAACCACCTAATCATCTAGCTTGCAAAGATTATTGAATTTATTTAGAAGAGTTTCATCACTTCCATGTTCCAAGAGCTAGACAGTGCAAGTTCATTTCCCCCATCATGTCCTGAAACACAAATTTTTTCCTGTAAATATTAGTTCTTCTCTATGCTTAGATTTATAAAAATCTAATTTTTATTTTATTTATTTGTGGCAAGTTATCCACTACATTTTCTCTCCTATTTTTCACCACCTTTCTTAAAAGCAATACTGTAAAAAAAAAAAACTATTAAAAACTAGATAATTAAAGCATAAATTCAACAACAGCCTATTCAAGCCTCGGTAAGCCCAGTCTAAATGGTGGAGAACAAGAACTAACAGAGTGGATGGCTGGAAGGATGGCTCAGTCATGAGCATTACTTGCTGCACAAACCTGAGACAGAAACTTGGAACCCAAAGCCCACATCAAAACTGGATGTGGCTTCAGACATTCCTGTAACTCAGCACTCACATGGCAGAGTCAAGGAGATCATTAGCAAAAAACACACATAAACAAACACCTCTAACCACTGTAAGCTCCAGGTTCAGCCATACACCCTGCCTCAAAGGGACAAAGAGAGTGATAACCAAACACTGAGACATTCCTCTGGCTTCTGCACACCTGCACAATCTGTTCACACAATGCACACACACACACTGCACACACACAAAATGTATGCAAAAGAACTAAAAGAGCATGAGTTGTATTATTAGAATTCTTACAAAGTGAGTAAAATAGCATTTAAAAAATTGTCAAAAACAATTTAATTACGAAAAAAGCAAGAATATGAACACAAATACAATGAGTTTCGCCTTCAGTAGAGAAACATGGAACTTCAGAAGAGGGAGCAACTAAAAAAAATCCAGCTCATTAACAAATATGATACAAAGCAGGAAACATTTACTCCTCTTACAATAAATGAGAAATGATTTATAAAACAATGTCTAAACATTTGACATTAAAGGAAACAGAACATTAGGAACATTGTTTCCAGAAAATAAGTATCAAACCCTGCATGGACAACAGCATCCCCTCACGTCAGTGAGTGCAAGCTTCCTATGTTCACTCATGGAAATCATCTTGGAGTAAGATTTTATAATTACTGATCCTTCAGTTTCTATTCAAACACAACTAAAAGTGTTTTTAATACTACTTAGATAATACCATAATTTTTCAATTAGCCAATAAAAGAAACACAAACACCAAAAATTACACAACATCACAAAATAGGATCAGATGTACCAAGTACTTTCATTTCCCATGAAGGTTACGTAAATTTTTTCCTCAGAAATATTTTAGTACTAGCATCTATACAACTTAAGTTGATGTTAAAGCCAAATAGGAATGAAGCAAGAAAGAAAGGAGTGAAGTTCTGCTGTACTCGGAAGAAAAGCTAGAAGCTACAGCAGGCTGGTTTTGTCTCCAGGGCCCAATTATAACAGAGCCAATTAGGTTCTATGAGGCTCTCATGCCTCTTTACAATTCTCCTATAAACCCACAGAATAAAACTCTGCATGTGTGTGTCAGAACTTACTGATATGGATTCCAAATATTCCTCCATCCATCAACAGCACTTCCTGTCCAAAGGAGAAATGGAAACTAATATGTGTTTAGTTAGCTTTTCAAATAATGTCAAATTTACAGACACGCTGCAATGGAAGAATTATGTCAGTGTGAATGTTCAATTAATGGTTTAATTTTACTCTTAAACCATTAAAACCACCCATTTGCTTTCCTGTATTTCAACAATATGGAAAACAAAGAAAAGAAGAGAGAAAGAGAGGAGGCAGGGAGATATGAGGGGAGAAATCTTACAAGCTTTCAAGTCTCAGGTCTCATTTGCAGTCTGGTGACCCTGAATCTATACCACTGTGGTGAACATGCTGTGAACACAGCAAATCTCTCTCTGCACTCTGCATGCTCTCTGCACTTCATAATTGGAAAAAGATTCAGAGAACAATATGAACATTTGCAAAGGGGAAATTTTTCTCTCATGAGTGTCTGGTGTGACTTCTCTTTAAAGTCAGCTGTCAGTCTTTTCTACTACAAAAAAAACAAAACAAAACAACAAACAAAAAAAACAGTACTGTTAATTCCAGCTGATAACTCTTCACAAATACAAAGACATTTTAAATGTGGAACAGAGTGTGTTTGTGTTGTTGTTGCTTAATAATACTAAGCCCTCTAACTTTTGCTTTGTCTCTCCAGAATAAATTTTCACAAAGTATTCCATGATAACTAAATATCTATTTTATAAACATCGTAATACATTTGGAACCATGATTTTAGAGGTGCAGTCTCTGCATTTTAAATGCATTAGATCTGAGGACTGCAAAAACTGCATGGATTGAAGTCTGCTGTGAGCATCAGAAAGGATAGTAATATTGAGATCTTGTAATAACTTTTATTATTATAATTTTATTGTTAGAATTTTGTTATTAATGTTCATAAAATATTTCAGTCAAATATTTGGTTGCATTTTCAAAAAGCAATGGCAATATATTAGCCATTCTTAATCATCAGTGTAGATATGCCACGAGCTCAACTCCACCAATACCAGAAAATAAAAGCAATAGAATTATTAGAAATGATTGACACAAAATTTATAAGCAGTACTAAAAAGCAGAGTTTCAGCAGACTAAATGCTCCCCCAACTTTATGGAAGACAAATGTGAACAAAGGCGGCCACCAGGTAGCTCAAACTGTGGGAGTTCATTATACAATCCTGACAGAAAAGAGGAAGAGGAGGGAGTTCAGATTTGAACATGGAAATGTCAGGAATTGTGGGGCAATAGGCACACCACACCTCCACTCCAAACCTGCGCACACGGAGCAGCCTAGTATGAGAATGCACCCAGAACCCTCTAGCTGAGCACAATGCTCTAAATAACTCAAAAGAATTCTTTGAAAAGATAAAAAGCAGCTAATTCAGCTGTTGGCACCTCAATGTAAATCCTTTCTAATTTTGGAGTTTTAAGTGTATTCCAAGTGAACGCTGGTTGTCTGACTCATTACCCTTAGAGTCAGCCAAATTTTTATTCCAAGAAAGAAAGAACTCTTTACTCTTATTTATAAACTAATAACCAAAGTTTTATTCACTTTATATTTATGAAATAATATTCAAGATATAAGAAAATAAGAAGTCAATATAAAAAATTAAAAGTTTGCCCCAATTGTGAAGCAGAGACATTTCCAGAAAACATAGTAACATTAAAATATTGTACTCTCTTTAGATATTCACTAAGATATTTCCACCATAGAAATAATTACATGTTAGGTAAAAGAAGCAATTAGAAAAAGAGAAAAAAGCTACTGGAAAGGAAATATATAATCTCACAACATATATGAAGTTTGGTAGAAAGTAAAAAAAAAAAATACCATTACATTTTGAGCAAAACAAATCTAAGAGACAAATGATTGTTATTTAACTGACTATAAAGTTCAAGACAAGATTAAAGCATAGAAATACATAAAACATCCTGGGAGGAAAGATTATCAAAGAAAAGCAAAACAGCTCTTCTCCTTTACCCCCGCCATCGTGCGCACTGCGCCTGATTCGGCTTCTTGCCATGTCTTCTCACAAGACTTTCAGAATCAAGCGATTCCTGGCCAAGAAACAAAAGCAAAATCGTCCAATTCCTCAGTGGATCCGGATGAAAACTGGTAACAAAATCAGGTACAACTCTAAGAGAAGACACTGGAGGAGAACGAAGCTGGGTCTGTAAGGATTTACACAGCGACAAGACTGAGGGTTTATACTGAACTATGGTCATCGGTCAGCCCTACCAGATGGATTTCAACATTTTTAACGTGGAGACTTGCTTGTGTTTAAATTAGGTGTCTGTCCAGAAATAAAATTTAGAACCTTTAAAAACAACAAAAAAAAAAAAAAAACAAAAAAAAAGAAGAAAAGAAAAGCAAAACAAAACAAAACAAAAAACCAAAAAGCCTTACAAGAGGGACAAACAAGTATTGATTAAGGAGGATGTGGACCACTCAAAAAAGACCCATTGGCATAGTTTGTTTAGGTCTTGTTTGTGCATCTATTTCTGTAAAAGACTTCTTCACAGCAGGCATACTGATATTTTGGTTCTTACAAGCTTTCTTCCCCAACTTCCAGAATGGTTCCTGTGCTATAGATGTGAAGCATGCTGATGGAACTCTCATGGAGTCTCCACCCTAGACAAAGACCTTCCGGCAACTAAGGACTGCAGGAAGCGTTAATCTCTGCCAGGGATAAGACTCTTCCCGGCTTACTCAACACAAAGCGCCAAGTGGCCAGTTCTGCAATCATATGCACACAAACAAGAAAAACCCTCTCAGCAATTTGTATTCATAAGAGAAGGAGAGTCTGATTTGAGGATATGCTTTTGCAAAGTGATGGATTTACTAAAGCATTCATTACCTCTAGAAAAGGGTTAAATTTGAGCCAAAAGAGAAATGAAAGGAATTCTCAGTGTGACCCCTGTACAGAAGATGCAGAGACTGAGCTGCCAATAACAAATAGAATTTTGCTTATTAACCAGATATTTGATATGATTAAAAGAGAAAACCATTTCACCATGGCAACATAAAGTATCACATCAAAATTTTCATTTTAGAAACTTAATGGAAATCTATGTTCCAAGTTAATAATAAATTAAGTATTTGGATAACTTTTATGATTTAAATATAAAGTTGTAAGTCTATATTAGAGTTTAAAAGGTAGGGGTTGAGAAACAAAATAATAAACACAAATGAAAATTGAAGAACACATGAAATTGTTAGCATTAAAGATGCAAATATATATATATGTCTATACCTTCCCTAATGGGAACCTCTGCAAGTGTCAGGCAACTGCCAATATGTGGGATTTAGGTTTCTGGTTAAGAGTCAGAGGAGAACCATGGGCAGAAGTAGAAGGTGGGGGAGGAGGAAGGAGAAGAGGCTATGGATTAAGTGAGTCATAAAAACATAGCCCTGAGCACTAGCCCATTGCAGTTAAGAGCAGCCTAGATGAAACATAGTAAGTGGTAAATAATAACTAGGGATTATCAATAGGAAAGTAGAGTCTAACAACATGGAGGGTAGGTAGTTACCTGGCTCTTGTGCTGTTTAAGGCTTATTGTAAATATAGAGGCTGTGTGTGTCTTTTATCTTGGAACTAAGGGTCAAAGCCCTGTTAGAAAAGCGAGGTTGGGATTAAATAATTTCTACAATGTACAATCTCTGAGTCCATTTATCATTGCTTGTATATACATGTGTCTAAAGCTGACCACTTGGGATTGGAAAACCTATGTTGTAGGTTATTTGTTGAAGAAATTGATTTAACTGTAGTCATTGGCTACCTGTAGCTCTTTGTATAGGGTAGGTAGGGCCTTGGAGAATTTTTCTGTTAGTGTTGGTATATAAACTAGTGGTTATCATTATGCTAGTCTAGTTCAGGCAACCAGATAATTGCAATTTCATGTGTACATTTTCCCTGGTCTGTTTAAGAGCTACTATCTAGTAGCAGATATCATGGGCTTATGGCCTATTATCTTTCTGCCCCCATAGGCTATTTTCCCTGAGTCTTACGTGTAAGGGCTGCATTGCAGATATATCAGCTGGAGTTGGGTACCCCCAAATCACTTTTCCTCTGCATTTTGACAAGGTGTTAATCTTTGTAATGACCCCCATCTGTTACAACATCCTTAGCAATTAAAGATGCAAATTAAGGCTTCTCAGAAATTCCTTCTTACCCCAGAGAGTAGCTAAGGTGAAGATAATATCTGACAACAAATGCTGGTTGGGAAGCTTCATTCTCTGTTGGTAGAACTGGACCTGCTATGAATATCAGCGTATAGAAGTCTCAAAAGCCAAAAGTAGATCTGGCATATGTCCTGGGATACTTCAGGGTATACACACAAGAGATTTGATATTCTACTACATAGAACATTTATCAGTCATGTTCACTGCTTTGCTCATGATATCTGGGAATCAAAACTACCTAAATGTCTTTCAACTGATGAATGGAAATTAAAATATTGTACTGGTTTTAGTTAGGGTTTCTCTTTCTGTGAAGAGACACCATGACCAGGGCAACTCTTACAAAGGAAAACACTTAGTTGGGGTTGGCTTACAGTTCAGTGGCTTAGTTCATGATCATCACAGCAGGAACGGTGGAATGCAGGCAAACACAGTGTTGGAGAGGTAGCTCAGAGTCCTACATCCGGATCTGTAGGCAGCAGGAAGAGACAGTGAGCCATTAGACCTGTCAAAGCTCCCCACAGTGACATATTTCCTACAACAAGGCCACACCTACTCCAGTGCTGTCACACTTCCCAATAGTGCCACTCCCTTTGAGCCTATGGGAGTCATTTTCTTTCACACCATCACAACATCTATTCACAATGTAATACTAAAGGAAATTGAAATGATGCAATTCTCAGGTGAATGGTTAGAACTGAAATATACTATCCGAAGTGAGGTAATCCTGGCCCAGAAACACAAATGCCACATCTTCTCTCTTATTTGTGAATCTTAGCTTTGAATCTTTAGATGTCATTATATAACCTGAAGTAACAACAACAACAACAACAGCAACAAAAGCCAGGAAAATAGAAAGAGACCATGAGGGTGGGGGGAGAAACACTAAAGAGAGGGCATAGTAGAATACGGTTGCTATGAAATGAATAATGGAGATTTTTACTACATAGGGAGAGGGAAGAAGAGTTACATAACACTAAGAGTATTTCAGAAGACACAGGACACATCGTTTTACAAGCTTATTTAAATATATATAATGTGTATGTTTACATGCATACACTTATGTGTGTATATTCTTTTTTTTTCCCCCAATGGTTAATTCACTTAAGGTGATGGTGTGCCCCACATCCAAGAACCATGCACTATCTAACAAAAATTACAGAGCCAGGCCTGGAGAACATCCCCTTAAACAAGAATCTCTCAAAACAACCAAAAGCAAGAATCATTGCTTTTGGTTGTATTCTAGAACTTGAAGGCAAGAGCTTACAACTGGAAACATCACAATCCAGACACAGGACTTGAAAGATCTGAGGTATAAGCAACGTACAAGCATCCTCCTAGAGGACTAGCTTTCATGGGATCACTGCTATGTAAGATGATAAGGGTGAGGAGCAATCCTTTCCAAGTGTAACGGCTGCAATCCACAACGAGATCTGAACCAATAGATATCACCATTGGTGAAATAATGGTACTTTTATCTTGAAGGTAACCAATAGATATTTAATTGTACTTAAGACCCACTCATTAGGAAGGAGTTTATGCCTGATACTGTCAACCTACCAACTAGAAAGGGACCGTGGAGGGGAGGGGAAGAGAAGAAACACCAGAGATGGGGCATAGTAGGATACAGGTGTTGTGAAATATGAGACTTTAACTGGGGAGGATAAAGAGTTCACATAATCTAGAAGGAATGTACTACTGCCAGTTTTCTAAGCTGGCATAATTTCTAATTATGCTAAATCATTATCCACAGATAACTGTAGCACTCACCCTTCATGACAGCAAAGATATACTGCAGTAAATAAAATCATAATCAGACATCCAAATAATAAAAAAAATACTTTCTAAAATGCTAAGAAAGTTTGTTTGAGGAAATGGCATTTAAGCCTAGATAAGAATAAGGTAAAAATAGAATGATCTATATGTATAACATACTTGTTCCAGAAAGAACAAAGGTTCTGGTCTAGATTCCTGTACAAGCAATGAGGAAGCAAGTGCCTTGGGAGATAACTAGAGGGCATATGGAAGGGAAAGAAGGGCTGGTATCAAGTCAGTGAAAGAGTTTAGGCTGCATTGTAAACATGGTGGAAAGTCCATGAGGAGTTTCCTACAGGGAACTCATGATCTGCTTTATATTCTGAACATGGTTTTACTGGTGGGGAAGATTGCATGACAGACATAAAAGTGGAAGTGGCAGAGAAACTAGAAGGAAATGCAAGATGATAGTAGAAAGTGTGGTGGTTTGAAGATGCTTGGTCCAGGGAGTGGCACTATTAGGATGGGTGCCTTTTAGGAGGAAGTGTGTCACTGTGGGGGTGGGCAATGAGACCCTCCTTCTAACCCAGTCTTCTCCTAGAGACCTTCAGATGAAGAGGTAGAACTCTTAATTCCTTCTGTATCATGCCTGCCTGGATGTTGCTATGTTCCAGCACTGATGATAATGGACTGAACCTCTGAACCTGTAAGCCCGCCTCAGTTAAATGTTGTCCACATGGTGTCTCTTCAGAGCATTGGAATCCATAACTAAGGCAGAGATGGTGGGAAAAATTTAGATTCTAGATCATTGATAGGATTTGCTATAAGACCAGATTGGAGGTGAGAAAGAGTATGACATTTTTATTTGGTTTTGCTTTAAGACAGCATGCTCATGATGTACAGACATACTTTCAGGCAAACACTCATGCACATAAGACAAATATCTCAAAAAAGAAAAGAGAAGCTCAGCAACATACACATATATGTGAAAATAAATTGCAGTGAATAATCTTATAAGACATCATTTTAATTGACACAACAAGTTAGGGGTGATGGCATACACCAAAAGTCACAGTACTTGGGAGGAGACGAGAGTCAGGAGTTCACCAACATTGATGATGTCTGAAGGCAGCTTGAACTATGGAAGACATTGTCTTAAAGCAAAACCAAATAAACAAAGTAAAAGATAATCACTATTAGAGAAAGGAAAAAATGAAATCGTGTCTTACCTAAGGGGATGCAAAGAATCCACAAATACTACTGTCCTGTTCCTGCCAA